ACTATGAAGGCAGTTGAGAGATATGGGAGTGGTTGTCTTGAAACCTAGCCGTTAGGGCTGGTTAGGGCCTTTTTAACAAAACGCACAAAAGTGAAAGTATGGTGGGTGGTCATGTTCATGTTTAAGCATAGCCAAAGAGCTTTAGGTAGTTGAGCATGGTCAATGTTGTGTGCAGATCTCATCTTTGGAGTTTGACTTTGCTGGCGAAGGCCGATCACGTGACTAGCTCTAGGCCAAAASCCTATCCACAAGTTCCAAATCCAAAGCCAAATCTGAACCCCAAGCCTAGGYCAGCAATCCTATTCCTAATCATGTTTTAGCTCTAACCGCAATTTTAACAAATTGTGCGAAAAAAAAACACTGGTCACGTGACCCTCATTATTGCAATTAATTAAGCAGAAACGGTCATGTAATATTGATTAAGTTCGAATAAAAACAATCTGCAGTGACGTTTTATTTTCATTATCATATGACCCGTATTTGTTTCCAGACTTGGGAAACGATGGCTGGAGCCAGGAAATTTCCAGTAAGATCCTTCAACTAATGCACTAGTCAATTGACACCCCCGACCCCCGAACCCCGGGGAATAGCGGGGATTTTAACGTTTKAGTGGTGTTAAAATAAGACATTTCACCTGGTAGTCGGGGGCACATTTACTGTTAAAACCCCCGCTACTGTAGCCCCGCTACTGTGACCCCGCGCGTAAACTCTCTCAGTTCCCTCGTAAATCATCATTATTGCAGCGACATCATTATTATTTTTAATGCAAAAAAAAAAAAATAGACAAAAAACAGTTTTTGTTTTTTTATTTGCATTTAGGACATAACCATACTCCTGAAGGGGCCCMTTTGAGGCCCACACAGGAGATGTGATACCACATTGTATCACACTCTCTGTTGTCACAACACACCATCAGTCCAAACTCAGCTTGATTACAGAGACAAAATTGATCAGGATCATCTACARATAAAATCAACCAAACAAATATTATAATAGCATGATTTCATGTACTTTTTAAGGATATCTTTGGACTGGGGTATTTGACACTTACCATTACAGTCTGGGCAATTAAAAATAAACTAACACCTTTACAAATACAGCAATGGCAAAATATCATGTATAAGATCTTTAATGTTTCTGAATTTGTTCAATAAAAATACGCTTTTTGACTCACCTTTCGTTTCCCCATTGWAGACATTGTAACGAAAGAATAATTATGATTTACACATGGGATGGGCTGCCTGTGGTTGGAATACCAATGCTTTCTGGGTATTTTTCAAAATGGCCGACCACTAGTTTCCAGGCTCTTATATATTCAAACGAGCGTTAAGATCCCCGTTCGCTGCCCCGCTGCGAAAACAATTCGTTAAAATCCCTACCCCCGGTGCCAATCTTGTTGTAAAAGCACGTTAAAAACGCGTCACTGCCCCGTTCAGTGCCCCGCTAGTCCCGGGGTTCGGGGGGCGGGGGTTTCAATTGACTAGTGCATAAGTTACATGATTTCATGCACCTCGTCCTATAGGAATAGAACAAAATACTTTTGTTTGTTTTCAACCAAGATGAAATTACTTTATTTTTTATAGAAGATAAAATATTGTTGCATTTTTACAGCGACTAATTAATTATATCTGCAATATTTTCTTATATGAGCTCTCGCTCTACTTATGCAATTTTCCTACTTTCTCGTACAAAAATATAAAACTTCCTGAATTATCAATTCTACTCAGTGTTCACTGAGTGTTGATTAGAGTTAATGATCAACCCTGTCTTGACCAATCCTCAAAACTACCCATCAATCCCATCGTGGACGAGATCAACATTACAACATTAAATCCCAGGTCTTGATGGTATCGTCCCAAGGATATTAAAAACACTCAGTAATCCGTTATCACAGATAATTACAGAAGAAATCATATGATTGGCGAGAATTATCTAGCGACTTGAAAAGTGCCAACTTCATACCGTTTTTTTTAAATACAGTCCGTGTAACTATTGACCTATTTCACGTACATGCATCCCTCGCAAGTTGATGAACACATTATAACTAGCTAGTATTATTATGAAGCATCGCATGCACAAAACGATCAAATTTTCTATCCACTACAATATGGTTTCAGGGTCATAGGAAACTCAATTATCGGTTTTATATGTCATTGTTAACAACATGAAATAGCATGGTGGTCTACAAACTGATATCTACGATATCCGGGTAATACATTTAAGGATTGTGATCAAGTTTGTCACCAACATCSTATTTAAAAGGCTGAAGGGCAAACGTGATTCTTATCACACGGTGTAGACGGTGGATTGTTGGCTAGTTAGTTTTTCTGTTTAACTTATAGAATTCMCTTTATCAAATTGTATCTTTAAACCTCATAAAAAGCGTTTTAAATGATAGATTAAAAAGGGAACGTCCTTGCATTGCGATAAAAAAGACGGAAATGAATTATGATCTACTGACCAATAAATACAATTTTCATGCACTTGCTTAATTAATATTATTCCAAAGCATTTGATGCGAGCTATTCTCTAGATAAAATGTTCCAACGTTTACTCCTAATTAAGCGTTCGTACATAGCACTATTTAAAAAAAACAACTTAAATCAGTTAATATTGTCAGAAGCACTAAAATTCTACTTGGATGCTGGTTTGGTTGCGTGAGTGTCATTACTTGCCTCATCACTATTCTCCATCTCATTCTTCTCCATAGCATCAAGTGCCATGTTCGTCTTTCCAACCTCGTGATTCACCCTATTTCCAGGTAAATCATATGATCTTAACATCTGTTCTTCCATCTGCAAGGCTGCCAATGGGTAGGTCAGCATCATGGCAAACATGTCTTCKCCAAGGTTGCCGACGATGTGGAATTTTTCTCGGATTTCCGCACGTACTCCAGTACCGTAAGCTATGAAMCCAAACAGCACAGCCCATCCTACGTAYGCCAGGCCAACCTCAACTACTTGAAGGATTTCCAAGAGAATCCARGCATAAAATGGAATTGCAAGGCACACCATGGCAACGTAACGGTTGGATCCGTATACCTTTCCTGCTGCATTACCGATTGGATACCAGGGAGCARAGAGAGCTATSAMCAAYCTRGCCCACAAGCTTCCAGAGCACTGATAGAATACATCAAACAGACCGATAGAGAACTGTGGTCCATTGGCAGCCATAACTCCCATCTCAATCTTCAATAGTCTCCACAGCGCCACACAGATAAAGTTCAGTACTACCGTATAGAAAAGACCAGAACAAATGGACACTGCTTGCAGAGCTGAAAGAGCTTTATCACCCCCCGTCCAGAGTAGAGCAGTAGCCGTCGCACCTTCGGTCAAAGCCCAGAAGATTCTTTGAAGAACTGGGGGATCTGGATGACCATTGGCTGAGAGGCTGTCAATCACAAGAGAACCGCTGTCTGAACTCGTCACAAAGTAAAGAATYAAKCCAACTATGGACATTCCAGAGAGGAACGGTCCAAGTCCACCATACTGATCCATCACGTCAAACCACATGCTGGTTGAACGCCGACACGACAAACGATAAAGACCATGATAGGATGCGGTTGAATTTGTGCCTCCTAGTAATGAGGTGCAGGTGATATTGGCATTAGCAGCAGCTCTCTCCATGCGAAGACCCGCACCRCCAAAGACTGAGAACCACATCAAGGAGTAAACTGTTGGGATGGTCAGTGTGTACATGATGAATTCTTTAATTGTGCGACCGCGTGAGATTCTGGCAATGAAAACACCCACGAAAGGAGACCAGGCGATCCACCATCCCCAATAGAAGATTGTCCAKKCATTCATCCATGTGGTTGCATGCTTCTTATCGGGCGCATCTCCTAGTTGTGCAAATGCATCGGTGTGGAATCCCAATTGAACAAACCACTGTAGATAATAGCCAACTGATTGGACGAAGAGATTCAAGATGTACCAGGTCTCTTCATAAAAGAAAACAACAAACCAAAGAAACATTCCAATAGAAAAGCAGATCTCACTTAGTCGACGGATTCCCAGTTTGATGCCGCTGATAACAGACGCAGTGGCCAAGGCTGTGATGCACCAGATGATAACCACCTGACTTTCCCTACTTTCTGGGATGCTGCTATTCATACGATGAAATCCACTGTTGAGCTGGATGACACCAAGACCAAGACTTGTACAAACTCCAAACATTGTGCACACAACGGACAGGATGTCAATGATGTCACCAAATGTGCCGTAGATCTTGTCGCCAATAAGAGGATAAAAGCAGGATCTCATGGTCATTGGCATACCTTTGTTGTGGGACAGGAATCCKAGAATGAGGCCGATCAAAGTGTAGACGATCCATCCATGTATACCCCAGTGGAATATCGTGATGTTGATAGCATCTTGAGCTCTTTGATTGTCAGAATACCTGTTAGGATGATAAGTTTTTGATGTTAGTTATATTGTCAATAAAGTTGTCATTAAGTTAGCTTGTGTTTATAGTCAGCACAAATAATAAAAGTTAAAAACTGATGTAAGCAGGAAACAGAGAATATAAAAAAAATAAAAGCAAAAGGATAAGTCAATTCAAAAGGAAGTGTTTATTCAACCCATTGTTGCTATTAGAAGAAGAAMTCAATCTCTTTTGCTTTGCGACAATCGTTGTGATGATCAAGGTGCAGGAATTGGAGCACAACAGTACAATATTGTCGAGTCGATCATCTTTGTTTGAATAGTAGAGTGCAAGCACTTAATCCGTAAAACACTGACTAATTTTTTTGCTCGTAATATATAAATACCCACTATAATGAATGCAACTAATGACAACAACACACTAGAGACAAGTTAATTGTGCAATAGACCAAAATAAAACCAATATTATAATTCAAATTAATTACAATAAAAATTGTTATCTAACAAAGGCATTGGAAAAGGCCCAGGAAATTGTTATACAGTTRTTTCAGAAAACGTTGAATTCTGGATGCTGATTTCCAAGVCCACAATGCATTGGTTGCTATTGAACTCTAGGTTGGCTGCTTTATAAAATTTAACTTCTAAACTCAATTGCTTTCCATTACAGTTCTTGACTGTACGGTGCTGGTATGGTCACTCCTTGATATTAACTAAAACTCTAACAAGTTCTTCGCAAGACGAATCTACAACAACCAAAGAACTGTGAGTCAACTGTGTGAGGTGTCACTGCATCGTCCGCAAACCTTTTTTAGTTCTTTGCGAGTTCCTATGTAAACTACTAGTRCGTTCTGGATACTGACGCTTCGCACYGTTGAGTCGGATCAACAATGACGTGGGTACGAAAACCTTTTGACGRAAGTTAAGTTCAAACTGGTAAATAAAGATGGTCATGACATCATTGATTRTTGTTATTGCGATTCAAAATTTCATTGACAAAAGCAATGTTATTGATCATTTCTCAGATTCTTGAGAGAGAATGATCTTCTGTATAATGAACTTCATCATCCAATCATGGATTCAATATTGGACTATCGCTAAATTTAGTCACACCCGGAGTTAAGCGGAATTTTACACTATAAATGGAATGTTACCATGATTAGAAGCGAGATTTTTTTCAATTGCTAATGGGCAATACTGGACATAGCGCTATATATATGAACATAAATATTATCAAGAGCAATTACATCATATCACTGTGAATAGAAGCGGAATCTCTTTTACACAACTTGTTCCGTAGTCCAATTTAGTTAATCACAATAGCATTCGGCCGAACTTCTAAATCCACTGCAAAAGGACACAATTATTCTTTCTAAGCAATCTAATCAATTCTAAGTTTAGAATTGATGGAAAGAGCCAAATTCAAAGTCTCCTTTATTTTGGAGGGTTCAGAGGTATACCCCCTGAACAGTGGCGTAGATTATCTTGATACAGAAAATCTATTTATATTTTTAAGTTTATTCGAAAATAATCCTAAATATGCTTTCTTCAGTCTTTTTGTTTACGGCAATTCAATATTTTCGAAWTCTTTTTCCTTCAAATGTTGCGCATTCAATATTTTTGTATTTAAAGAATACTTCTGTCATCACACGAATGATTCCCACACAATGTGAACTCATATTMATATCACTGTACTGATCGCTAAGTATTTTGGCCTACCTTCCTTGATAACGATTGGCAAACGGTGTCGAGTGACTTGGTTCGTAATGAYRTATGGGTTCAGCGACGCCAAAATAGAACAAACCAACACCGATCCCTGCAGCAAACAACATCGTAAAGTATGTGGCATCAGAAAACTCTGGTTTCTCGTCRGGTTTTCCAAGCTTGATCTTGCTATACTTGGAGAAGAGTAGATACAAGATAAAGACTGCCCACACATCTTGGGTACCAATGTACAGCCAGGTCCAAGTTACAGTGATCCAATTTTTCCATTTTGGAATTTCAGCGTTGGCTTGATCGGTCCATTCTAAGCAGTAGACCACGAACSCCCATATTATGATAGCCGAGACGAAAGTTACGACTGGGTTGATTTCAATCCTCAGACGACCAAAGATTTTGAATTTCAAATTACGGCATTTATCCCTYGTGTTATTTTCGGCTTCCATGTCTGTATGGTATGAGAGGACTMCTCGATGTGGTCTACGTTTTACACGATTTTATTTTTCTTTCGATCGATGTGATTGGACCAAATGTGGTTCTGCGTGAGTTGAGGTGTTTAGGTGAAATCATATCCGTGTTCAGTGATTTTACTGTCATCCTGTTGGAGTTTTTTTTTTGTAATAGGAAAAAGGATTACGGGTAAACTAACATAAATAATCAGTTGTCTCTCAGACGGTGTCAATTATTGCAATGGAAAACAAATCATGGGCCATTTTCATCATATTTCATCAGGGACGATGTCTAAATAGGTTACTCTGTATATTGCCAGGTGTTTTGCGTCATCTAAACTGCTCACCAGCGTAAATCTTCGACGTACACCTAATTAAGAAACCGTTATCCTGAGATTTAGGGATTTATGAAGACATTAAAATAGAAAAGATGACCAATGAAGCTGAACCCTTTCTTTCTAATTTTCTGATTCGATTCTAATTGATTCCTGATAGCAAAAGTTCTTGTTAATGCATGTTACTGGGTAGTTTCAAACTAAATCAAACAGTTATGTATCTTRATCTGAGTAGTCTAGCATAAAAATTATACAATATATATRTAAGAAGATTAATTTACATGACAAAAGATAAAAACAACAAATGGGAATCTATGAATAGACATAATATCGATAGTAATAATGTTTTTGTAATTAAGTGTATGATCATGGCAAGGTTTTAGCAACTTGCATGGGATCGAAAAGAGCGAGCTCAAGACGAACAGCAGAAAGTAACTGGAAATTAATCATCCCTATGATCCTTCTGGTCTAGGCGCGTTGGGATGAAGCCAATCAAACGACAACGTTTAGTGAAATGACTGCCATATGTTGCGTGACTTTGAGAGTTTTTAAGGTGATTTTCAAACAGCAGAGGCGACAAGTTGAGAAGACTTTTTTCGAATTGCATAGGTTCACAGTGTTCGGTATGTTCYTGTATGGAACTGTCCTTTTTGGAAGAATGTTATTTCATTCTCTCATTGAGTGTTCGATCAGTTTTGCCACCGTACGAAGATTTGCAGCTGGGACAAGTAAAAAAAGAAACGACATTGGATTGCAATAAGAACGGTGTTTTGTGGTAGTGTAATGGACTATTTTAGTGTTTTGATTCCATCTTGTCTATCCATTCTTGATTGAATATCAATCAAAATGAGAATGTTCGGATTATCCTTTGTCCTAATGATAAAATATCCCGAATAAATGATCGGAAAAGATAATACGCAGAAACTATATCAAATCAACCACAGAGGCGCTGATATAGAGGATATATTACATGTCATGCGAGGAGATACGGCTTTTTTCTTCGAGAATTGAAAAGATCTCTGAGTGATACTTTTTTTACTTCCAATATAGGGAACCTTGTCGTCACTRGTGAAAATAAAAACTTTTCAAGAGAGAAATAGAAGTATTTCATAGATAACTGAGGGGGACGTGGGGGGTACTACTGGAATCCGCAAATCCGCGAGAAAAATCATCTCAATCCGCAAATCCGCACTTCCATTTAGTGAAAATCCGCAATTAGTATAATCRATATGCGCACTTAAAAATATATAAATGTAGTCAAATATGCGATACTATTATTCGATTTCGAAATAGCTAGCAGTTATTATTGCAACTGTATAGTTGTGATGTATGCGGCTTCTAAATGATTTGTATCAGTAGAATCATTTACCATAAGGTCTCTTTGAGACTCCTTATTCTCCATTCATTTTTGTTAATCTTACATCTCGAACTTGTYCTTTTTGCGGTAGTTTTCGCCGCCCTTCCCTTCTTCGCAAAACAGAGCAACACAGTCTATGACAACTTCTTCGACAAAATTAGACGTGCTGCAAGGTCTAGAAGGTCCAGAAACCTCACCTGATTCTATACACTTAACGTAACCTGGACACGGTGTGTTCCACGTAGTGGTTCTCGTTATGTTAGTTTACCCGTAATCCTTTTCCCTATATTTACACATAAAAAAACCCTCAACAGGATAAAATCACTGAACACGGATATGATTTCATGCGAGACACTTCAATGCATCCAGAACCACATTTGGTCCAATCACGACATCGATCGAAAGAAAAATCAAAGCGTAAAAAAAGGTAGACTACATTGAGGAGTCTTCCTCTCATACCATACAGACATGGAAACCGATCGGGAAAATAACCCTAGGGATAAATGCTGTAATTTGAAATTCAAAATCTTTGGTCGTCTGAGGMTTGAAATCAACCCAGTCGTAACTTTCTACTCAGCTTTCATAATCTGGGGTTTCGTGGTCTACTGTTCACTATATACGCATCAAGCCATYGCTGAAATTCCAAAATGGAAAGATTGGATCACTCTAACTTGGACCTGGTTGTACATTGGTACCCAAGATGTGTGGGCAGTCTTTATCTTGTATCTACTCTTCTCCAAGTATAGCAAGATCAAGCTTGGAAAACCCGACGAGAAACCAGAGTTTTCTGATGCCACATACTTTACGATGTTGTTTGCTGCAGGGATCGGTGTTGRTTTGTTCTATTWTGGCGTCGCTGAACCCATAYRTCATTACGAACCAAGTCACTCGACACCGTTTGCCAATCGTTATCAAGGAAGGTAGGCCAAAATACTTAGCGATCAGTATTCAAAAGTGATATGAATATGAGATCACATTGTGGTAGGAATCAGTCGTAAACCAAATAATAAATTATCTAGGATTACTTTAGAATAAACGTTTTTGTATCAATTGATACGAGCTCTGACTAAAAGCTTCAAAACGCGGGGAAATAAATCTCCGCCACTTTTCAGGGGGGCATGCCTCTGAACCCTTAAAAATAAAGGAGACTTAAACATTCTACTAAGTGTGTGGCTTAGAGAGAAGTTCGTTTGAATACATTGTTACTGATAGTGTAAAATTCCGCTTAACTCCGAGTGTGAATCTAAATTTAGCGATAGTCCAATATTGAATCCATGATTGGGTGATAATGTTCATTACAGAAAATCATACTCTCTCAAGAATCTAAGAAATGTTCAATAACATTGCTTTTGTCAATGGAACTTTGAATCGCGTAACAACAATCAATGTGCAATACAAATCTATTAGATACTATCAACATCACTGCAACCATCTTATTTAGGTAGTAATATTGATAAGTGGCTCAGTAACCAATGTGAACTTAACTTCCATTGGCGTACCCACGTCATTGTTGATCCGACTCAACGGTTCGAAGCGTCAGTATCCAGAACGTACTAGTAGTTTACATAGGAAAGCGCACTGAGCTAGTGCAAAGGTTGTACACAAGATTACACCTTATACAGCTCTTTAGTTGTTGTAGTCGCGAAGAACTTTTAAGAGTTTTAGCTAATATCAAGGAATATCGAGCTTTGTTGTGGATTGTGGTATTTGAGATGTATTTMAGAAGACTATTAAAGATAGTTTATTCCAAGACCGAAATGCATTGCTGGTTGTTCTTTGGCAATTGAAACGGGTTTTGGTCGTGTCAGAGTGACCATACCAGTACCGTACAGATGTGTAATTGACAGCAATTAAGTTTAGAAGTGAAATTTTATGATAACCCAGTCAACATGCGGGGTTTAATAGCAACAATGCATTGTGGTCTTTGAATAATTGTATAGCARTTTCCTGGGCTTATTCCCATGCATGTGTAAGATAATAGTAAGTGTAATATTCTTCACCGGGGAATTTTATTCATGAGATAGAGATAAGGAATGGGGATAGAGATGGCCTGGGACGGGGGGACCTACGTAGCACGCAGTTGATGTAATGTATTCATAAAATGTATTGTATTCCATTGTTTCTCGTTCTATTGTATTAT